AGTGGATTCTGAATCAGAGTAACCCCTACCAGGTTTCCAGGGCTGTAAATCTTTAAAGAAGTACATTGCCTCATCGTCCTCCCACAGAGCAGCTGGTGGGTTTGAACCACTGACCTTCTGGTTAGCAGCCAGATGCCTGCCCACTGCCCACCTGAGCTCATCACTGGCTCAGTGAGAACTTGCTTTTTGCGTCACCTTTTCCTTCACAGTTCTCGTCACCCTGGGCTTCACGCCCACCCCAGGGCCTTGGCACGTGCTGGCCCTCTCTCTGCCTGCAGCACTCCCCCCCTGCATCTGCTCGGCGAAGCTCCCTTCCCACACCTACAGCATCAATGCCCCTTCCTCCACCAAGCCTCCCAACTCCCCAGAACTGGGGCCCAGCCCACACACCCCACACCTCAGGATTTGGTATCTGCCGGCCGGGAGCTGGGGCTCTTGCCCACTGCTGTCTGCCCAGGGCCCACCACGTGCCCAGCACATGGCGGGTGCTGTGTATTAACAGGTTGGTTACACTCCTCAGCCTGTCAGCCCCACTGTGTGACAGTGGGAGAGGTATTCACCACTCTGGACCTCAGCTTCTTCCTCTAAAAAGTCTAGTTTTATGGGATCAAATCGACAAGGGCAACTCGGAAGAGCAGACAGGAAATGTAGGGGGCCGTGAGCTCACGTCCACGGGGGAGGAACAGCTCAGACAAGGAGGGTGAGGATGGCTGCACACCTCCAAGCATGTCATCTGGGTCACTGAACTGTCCATGGAGAACTGGTGAAGCGGTGTATGCTTTGCTGAGTACAGTTCAACAAAAACTAAAAATAAATGATACGTAATATAAGAAGGCTGCCTTGCAAGCAGCGCTCGGGCAGCCAGTGAGCTGCAGGCTGGGGATGTGCTGTTGCTGGGAACACACACAGAAAAACGCACATCCACTTGTCAGTTTCTGCAAGCACAATGCAGCGACGTGGGTGACATGCTTCGAATTGTGCGGCCATCCACAGCCTCCTCTTCCGAGCTGTTGCTGCCCCACTGACGTGAGCTCCCTGCCCCAGGCTTCCTGTCCACCCTTCCCAGTGGCTGCCGTTCCCGGGACCCACCCACTCCAACCAGGGGCTGGCTCTGCTTACAGCTCTGAGCATGACCTCATGGGAGGAAGGGGCTCCGGGGCTCCCAGGGCCTGTTAGAGCGGAGGCCTCTCCTCTGTGGCCTTGTAGTGGCTTCACTTTGGGGACAACTTGATGTGGCAGATAAAGCACATGAGATGGGGACCTAGCTACGCCTGGCCTCCAGGAAGGAAAAAGAGGCACCCAGTGACAGCTGCCAGGCCCGGCAGGAGGGCTCCCACCCATGGGAGCCTACCCCCGGGAAGGCTATGGTGTCACTGAGGTGTGACCATGATAGAGAGCACGGGCCCAGAGCTTGGGTTTGAGGCCCAGCTCCACCACTCACTAGCTGTGTGACTCTGGGCAAGTTACTTACCCTCTCTGAACCTCCATTTCCTCATCTGTAAAATGGGGATAAAACCAGTTGCCACTGAGTCAGTTCTGACTCATGACAGCCCAATGTGTCGGACGGGGCTCCTCAAGGTTTTCAGTGACTGATTGTTCACCAGACCTTTCTCCCAAGGCGTCCCTGAGCGGACTCGCACCACCACCGTCTCAGTTATGGCCAAGTGCATTAACTGTTTACTCCACCCACAACTCGAGAGTGGGGACACTGAAGACTGCTAAGGGGGTTGTGAAGCCCCGAGCACCGTGGCTGGCACACAGAAAGCCCCACGAGCATTCCCATTGGGGTCGCCTTCACCCCACGTCACAGATGAGGAAGCTGAGGCACCCGGGTTAAGAGGAAGGCATGGTGTTCTGATTCAAATGCAGGAGGATCCAACTCCAAAGCACCCCCTCTCTCCACAGCCCATCACGTTTCCTCTGCAAACTTGGCCTTCAACGGGATGGTAACAAATGTGGCTGACAGGTCAGTGCAAGGGATCAATGTCTGCAAACTCCAACAGGTCAGAGAAATGCCTGTGGTTCACATCATCAGTCAGTCAGCAGGCGCCCCACCAAGAGAAGCAAGAGCATCACCAGGCAGGACCCTCAGGTGGTGTAAACTCAGAGCCCAGAATGTGACTAAGTACCAGATGCATGTGCACACGTGCACACACATGCACACACAAGCTGATGCATGTGCACACGTGCACCCACAAGCTCACGTTCACGGGCACCCGCACACTCGCACGCACATACACACAGCAGCACATCAAAGCCTCCACAGCCCTACATCCCTGACAAATCCTGCTCACGTCCTGCCCCCTGGTGGCCACCTGCAGAATCAGGCTTTCGGGGGAGAACCGCCCTGCCCAGCCAGGCACCACCTTTACTGACTGCCCGCTTCACTCACTTAAAGCATGAATCTGACTGGTGATCTTGGACCAGCCACCTAACTACACCGGGAGACAGCAGAGAGTAAAATAAAACTTTAACAAAGAGAGTCCATCCTACTTACGCAGGGATGGAACAATGATAAAATGCTTCCAGTGTATGACTCCCAAGCCCAAGAAGGTAGAGGGGACAAATTCTTTCAGCCGTCCTTTTTTTGAGAAATGTCCCTGTTGTTGGCAGCCGTTGTACCAGCCCCAGCTCATGGTGACCCCACGTTACAGGGCAGAGCTGCTCCATAGGGTTTCCTCAGCTGAGACCTTTACGAAAGCAGACGGCCAGGCCTATCTTCTGTGAGCCACGGGGTGGGCTCCAATCCGGATCACAGACCGCAGGTGCCACACAGGCTCCTTCTCGTCCCCACTTTACTGACGGGAAATGGAGCCCTGGTGAAGGTGCAGGACTCACGAGGTGATTTCAACCCACGGGCATGGCAGCCGCTGAAAATCCACCCGTGTGAGGCCAGAAGGCAGCGTTCACTGTACAGCAGAGAGAAGGTGTGGGGCGGGGAAAGGGGGCCTGGAACCAGAACAGCCAGGACACAGCGAAAATGTAACCAACGGCGCTGAACAACTTGTGCAGAAATGTCAAGTGGGAACCTACGGTACCATGCAAACTCCCACCAAAACACAGTATTGTCTGAGGGTTTCTTCCTGATGCCCTCTCCGTCTGTGACCCTGTCGTGAGGCTAAACCGTCACTAACAGATGACAAACGCTTCGGGCTCCACCTACCACAGGAACTTAGGGCCCCAACGGGACATCCCAGTTCTCTTCAGCCTCCCTCCCTCTGCCTGTTTCTCACCTACAACGAAGGAAGACCCAGATGACACGGGCACAGAACCGAGAGACGTTCTCAGAAGGTCAGGACCTGGGCGTGGCCTTCTGTTAGACAAGTGCACACCAGGAAGCTCCTAGAACCTTCTCCCACCGTCAGGAAGAGTCCTGCGCTGCGGCCGCCGTCCCACCCCGGC